AAATGCGCTCAAGTAATGTAAGGATAGCAAATAATATTGTTCTTTATTGCTTGAATCTTGATACTGACCAGCAAGTCAACTTATTACCATTTGTCAAATTTTTCATTGGACTTTCGACCTTATGTCAAAATTATAAAGTTGAAACTCGAATGACAGTTAAATTAAAATTGACCTGTTGTGTCAGTAACAAGATAAAAAATATAATATATGAAAGGAAAAATCGTATATACTGTATACTTACTTATGTCTACACGGCAATATATAATTGAATCTATCTATGCGTATAATTATCTAAGCCTAACATGGCACGCACGGGACCTCAGCGCACAAACATAACCCGCCAAAATCATTCTAATATACATTCACTAAACATTTCGTTGCTATTGTGAAGTGACCGAGATAAACAAAAAAAGATTTTAAACTTTTGAGCTATGACAATAAAGACTAAATTACAATGTGGGAACTAGATAACTATGGGTCAGTGTTGGACACTCTTAATGTACATTTTTCACCTCGGTCACTCCACACCACGCGTTAAGACGGTTCCAAGACTCCCACACAACATTTATACTTAATGTTGAACTGTGTGAAGGGGCACTAAGGACCATTATTCCTCGCGACCATTCTAGAGATCCGCAAAACAGGTAATACCACCACAGAACCAAACGGAACCCGTTACATCTTAATTGACGAACCACTAATAAGCAGTCTTCACAGTTATATTGATAATAACTAGATTACAAATATTAATAATAAAAAATACTGGACCATAACTTGATTTAATAGGAATTACACGGGTCGGAGGGACGAGTGGGCATACTATTTAATAATGTACTCTACTACTTTAATCACAAGTGTCATTTTAGTTTAACATTGCTTTTCAGTTTTGAAACAAGGCTTTTTAGCTAACGAATCTAACGACATCGATAGTTTGAGCAAGAAATTTACAAATAACGTTTTTTTTTATGTAATTATTACAACCGAATTGTACTAGTTTCCACTATTATAGTGAGCTAAAAAAATATATGCCTCCGTCACTCGTCGTCCCGACATATAGAACTATAGACAATACATCCTATATAATTTAATTACGAAAGAAAACACGTTTACGTTGACAAAATATTTCCATAGACGATTATAATACTTTGCTAGAAAAAAATATTTTAAAAATATATTTTTAATATTTAAATGCGTAACACATCTATTGCACTGCGACTAAATTATATATAAATAAAATGGCTATTGACCTTCAGGATCAATACAACATATTTAGGATCAAAAATATACATAATTTTAACATATTTTCTACGGTTATAGTTATATTTTTGATCCTAATATTGATCCTGACTAAGAAACAAAAACATACAGTTTGTACTAGTACGAGTATTCATACGATAGTGGACTATTTAAGATATTTTATCGAATTATACTCTAAAAAGCCAAAATATGTAAACTAGAATAGACGTGAGAAACAAAAAATGTTAAGATAATATCCATCGATTCGAAACCTTACGTTTCCTAATAGGTTTTAATTAAAAATCAACAAAAAAATGTTGTGATGATCCATTACTGTACTATAATAAATACATTTTAAGTGTCGTCTTCATTTAAATTCAATTTTAAAAAAAGTCATAACTATCACTTAATGACACTAATCCGACACATCTTTGTTCAACAACTTCTAACATAAAAACCATCCCTTTACACAATTTATACACTTAGCCAATCAAAGTATAATTCGATAAAGAAAATTCAAGTTTAAAAAAGCATTGTGTGCAAAGAAAAAATTGAAAAAATCCTTCATAAATATCTCAATACACAACCTCAACTTACATCATAAGAGAAAGCATTACTTCTCTTTAACCAACGACATCCAATAATTTATTGTTGTCATTTGAGCATATAATCCGAGATAGTACTATACAGTTAGGTTATGGATCGAACTAGCGAAGTCCATAAGGAACATTTTGCTTGGTATTTTGGTAAATAAAATCAGTCAATCATTGGTCTATTTATGTTTTTTACTATGACTGCGTTCTGTCAGTAGAAGTCTTAAGGAATGTGAAACTTTTTTATTTTCATTTTATTATTGGTATAGTCTTATTTATGTCTGATCAACTTGTACTCTTATATTAACCATAACATAATTTTGACATATTTCGTATGGAAAATATGTCATCAGTTTCTTTACTTTCTTGCTAAACGCGATGGGAGGCAATAGTGCCTGGCACTAGCGGAGGATTTATTCGCCTTCAAGTCTTCTGTCAGCAGTCAAAGGGTTAAACAATGATTTTATTTATTTACCAAGCAAATGAACCACAAATACCATCAGAAACCATTCAAGACTTCTTTATCAGCCTTTCTTAGGCAAGTCAGCATGAAACACTGATACTAAAGTACCAGTCATTGTCATAATCAGTCGTTTTTTATCAGTAGATCAATTGCAAACAAACAGAATGAGGGGAAACGTTTTGTAGTAGTTGATGCTAAAATAACCAGAGGTTTTATTTGTTCAATAGAGAATTTCTTATGGAGGCCATAGACGCTACCATAAGCGCCATAAAAAAACTCTTCAATTTACATAGGAATTTAGACGCAGTAATATTTTGAGTACATATTATTATTACTTTCAATAGGCTTACCCCTATTATATGGGACTCATAACATAAATAGTGAAAAGTGGATTTTACAGGCATTAAGTGCCGTAATGTGCACCTCTGCATACTCCTTCGAAGATAAAAGGCGTTATGTACACTTTCAAGGTAACATAACACTGTTTCATCCCCCAACGTATAGACAGAGGTGTACATAATAAGTCCCATGTAATAGTGTGCGCCGATATATTATTAAGAATACGATTATAATTGCTATAGCTATTTCTAATATATTTTTAAATTTTAGTTGTGTATATTAGATTTGTTTACAATTGATCCACTGAATCATTTTAGATGTGTTTGAAAAGGGACAAGTCGATCGAGTACAAAATAAATAAATAATTAGTTAATAGAAAGTATTCGTAGAACCCAATAGTTTCTTTATAAATAAATATTTTAAACATAAAACTTAAAATCTCACAAGTCGCTTGCAAAAACGAAACATTAAAATCACGTATCGAGACGCGAATATAAACTTTAACGTTCGCGTAGTAAAGACTATTTTAAAATAATTTTACAACTTAGTCAATATACACGATTGATCTATTATGATTCTTATATCAAACGAAATAAAGTTGAAAACAGATCGACTGTAAACACAATTAGTCTTCAAGAACGTACAGGATTTTTACAATCAAAAATGACACTTCAAAGTCAGAGTTATAATGTTTAAAATTACTCTTTAAATACAAATTATCTAGCTTCATCTATTTTAACGGATAATATATAGAAAAGCTGTTATTTCTTAGTCATAGGCCTACCTCGGAATGAGGTTTTTGCGATGCCAGAGGTCGCTAGTGTCGAAAAGTCTCTTAGACTATTAGCTAATTTCAAGATATTGGTCAGATAACTTTAGTGATTGGACTAGTACGATATTAAACTATACTAGCGACACCTAGTGACCGCAAAATGCGAGATCTTTCATTCATACCGTAGTTCAACAATAGTGAGGTTTAATATTATTATTGCTTCTATCAATTTAGGAAGGACAATGAAGTAATAAGTCTAACTAACAGAACTTACTTGTTTAAAACTAGTTTCTAGCTTTAAGCACAGCTTAAAAAGCTTGTAGAGCTGTCACATTACAACACTCAAAATAGATAATTTTTAACTAAATTAGTCGAAGTAAAATAGTCAAGAATCACATACCAAAATAACTACAGTCTGTAGTACCGAGGTATTTTTCAAAAAAGGCTTCAAGTCTCAAAAGACTTAGTGTTTAAATACACAAAAAAGTTCTTACATATCTCACTTGTCAGACACTACAATTCCAAACTAACGTTTGAAAGCTTCTTCAATCGATTCTCAACCTTACATCTTCAACAATAGAGTTCAATATCAATTCAATCATTCTTAATTCACATTGATCTGAAGTTGTCTGTACATACACGTAGCTATATTCACGTCGATATAGGCATAGCTTTTCAACCCTATAACTTCAACAATAGAGTTGAAAATCAATTACATTACATTGAAGTGAAGTTGGCTGTACATACATGTGGCTATATTCACGTCGTTATAGCGGCGGGGTAGGCACGGTAACACAACGCGCTGAGTATTCTTACATGTGATGTGATGTGGGTGTAATAGTGATGTATTTATTACCGGGATTCTTGGTCCGGGGTTTCTGCGTACCTGTAAGAAATTAGTATTGGTGAGAAAAAGTTAGCGTAAGTTATATAGTCTGTATAAAATATAGATCCATATTAATGGAAAATAATGGGTTAATTAAAGAAAGAAAATAACATTTATATGCTAACGTATGAGTGTCTGGAAGACTACCTCGAAGGCATACTTCTTTGTGTATTTATTTAAGCTAACGAGCTAGATATCTATTATTAAAAATATCAGTGTTTAACATGTCAGGTGTGGGACAGCCATGCTTCGGCACAAATGGTCCGGCTCTACCGGAGTGATACCATGGCTTCACCGAAAACTGACGTGAAGCAACGCTTTCGTTGTGTTTGTTGCGTTGTGCCCCCCCCCCCTCTCTCTCCAATCCATGAATACCCAACAAACCTCAAACTCCTAATCCCCAAAATTCCCAAAAGGCCGGCAACGCACTTGTAACGCCTCTTGCGTTCCAGGTGTCCATGGGCAACGTCGATTGCTTACCATCAGGTGATCCGTATGCTCGTTTACCGGCTCATACCATAAAAAAAATGTCTTGTATATGAGTATCACTCGCAGTATACACATTTAGACTTTAAATCGCGATCGCAATAATGTTTATAATGGCCCATACGTAGCATTAGTGTCGGTGAGCAGCGTGCCGTAGGCGGCCAGCGCGCAGTAGGCGGCGAGCAGCGCGGCGTGGTGGTGCGCGCGCGCGTGGTGCGGCGCGGTGCGCGCGTGCGCGCCCAGCGCGGCCCAGCAGTACAGCGAGGCGCGCGCGTCGCTGTCCGCCGCCCACTGCGCGCGCGCCGTGCCCGCGCCGCCGCACGCCGCCGACATCGTGCAGAAGTTCATCGCTTTCCAGCCGCCGTATCTAGTTCAACAATTAATTAGACGATTCAAAAAATATCCCAGCGTGCCAAATGTGCCTACACAACATTTTTTTATGACACAAAAACTAGTAAAATAGAAAAGTTTTTCAAAATATCTCGATATAAAATCTATTTACCGTTGATTACGTTACTTGAAATGGAATTGTATCACACTGCAAGATAATTTTTTAAGTACTGCAAAAATTAAATATACCAACTAAAACTGTATGTAAATCATCAAATATCAATAGAAAAACCTATCAACTCACTTGTCAACAACAACAACAGGTCCATTTTTATACTCCATCTGACACCCGGCGACATACTCGACTAGTGCAAACGAGTCCTTATACGGCTCTATAAGCCTATCTATAGCAGTCTCCCTCTCGCCCTCCGTGGCCGCCTGCCTCACAGCCTTGATGAACTCATTCTCGTCCGGCCTCCCTTGAACATAGTCCGTAGTATCCCCATCCAACCACCGACTGCATTTAATAAATTTAATACTTAACTGATAGTCATCTTGCAACGAATGCACACTAACATTTGTAACTTCTACGACTCTATCCAACGGCACATCGTCCGGTACTTTATCCACCTTCTCAAAGAAATAACACGGACGTCGCAACTCAGCTTCTTCTTCGACCGTCAAAGCTGGTGCGATTGGAGGTGGTGGAGGCGCCGTGTCTGGAGGAGACCCCGCTGTCCTATTCCCCCAATCGGGGAATTTGAATTTTGTTGGAGAGCTTAATTTAAAGTTTTTGAGGGACATTTTTGACGGAGATCTCGGGGATTTGGGGCCGTTTTTCTTTTCTGAGAGGGACGAGAATAGGTCGCCGTTCGCTATTGATTTTCTGGCTGAGAGATCCCGGTTGCCGGTGCTGAGTCTTTCGAGTCTGAGTTCAGTTCTGTCGAAGCGGTAGGCTGGTTCTGTATCAGTGACTGGGGAGCTGTTTTCTGGTATGAGCCTCTCATCATCTGCACAGTCACTACTCTCCTGTCGCCTATAACCATTGGTCTCTGGTTCCACAGGAGATTCTGCGGGCGTTTTTCTGTCAACTTTCCGATGCGCCACGTAAGTGTCTTTAGATACAAAACTAGCTCTGAAGTTGGCAACGAATAGTTCTTTCTCTTCTTCTGTCGGCCAGAATATTTCGCATTCCTGGAATGAAAATACAAAGTAAGAAATGGAAAACACATTGATTTACTACAGGCATCAGAGAAAAAACAGGTATGAATTATTGAATATTGTATCGATAACGAATAAAAATTCATTGAAATACAGCAGGGTGTAGTAATTTATTAATTTTGGATTAAGATAATTTTTGAAATACATTTTTATAATAACTATTGTGAGATATACTAAAGGTCGCGGTGATAGGGCACTAGGCTGTGCCACATCGCGTGAGATGAGCCCATTTGTGGCTCGAAACTAGTAGAGCTTTTCTCAGTATATTCACGTGAGTAACCCGCGATTTTTAGTCAGATTTAAAATTGTTTCTAATGTAATTGCCAAAACTTGTGGCAGTCCAGAGGAATTTAGATTAAGATCACGACGACTTTGGAATTTGGATTAAGATCCGTGTGGTCCCACAGCAGCCGCCACAGCTCGGGCGCGCGAGCCGCGGGGTGCTGCGCCACGCAGTACTCGCGCATTAGTACAAAGTACGTCGTGCAGTACGTTACCGGGTCGTCGGTGTCGGCCAGCAGCAGCACGAGCTGCGCCGTGTGGTCCCACAGCAGCCGCCACAGCTCGGGCGCGCGCGCCGCGGGGTGCTGCGCCACGCAGTACTCGCGCATTAGTACAAAGTACGTCGTGCAGTACGTTACCGGGTCGTCGGTGTCGGCCAGCAGCAGCACGAGCTGCGCCGTGTGGTCCCACAGCAGCCGCCACAGCTCGGGCGCGCGCGCCGCGGGGTGCTGCGCCACGCAGTACTCGCGCATTAGTACAAAGTACGTCGTGCAGTACGTTACCGGGTCGTCGGTGTCGGCCAGCAGCAGCACGAGCTGCGCCGTGTGGTCCCACAGCAGCCGCCACAGCTCGGGCGCGCGCGCCGCGGGGTGCTGCGCCACGCAGTACTCGCGCATTAGTACAAAGTACGTCGTGCAGTACGTTACCGGGTCGTCGGTGTCGGCCAGCAGCAGCACGAGCTGCGCCGTGTGGTCCCACAGCAGCCGCCACAGCTCGGGCGCGCGCGCCGCGGGGTGCTGCGCCACGCAGTACTCGCGCATTAGTACAAAGTACGTCGTGCAGTACGTTACCGGGTCGTCGGTGTCGGCCAGCAGCAGCACGAGCTGCGCCGTGTGGTCCCACAGCAGCCGCCACAGCTCGGGCGCGCGAGCCGCGGGGTGCTGCGCCACGCAGTACTCGCGCATTAGTACAAAGTACGTCGTGCAGTACGTTACCGGGTCGTCGGTGTCGGCCAGCAGCAGCACGAGCTGCGCCGTGTGGTCCCACAGCAGCCGCCACAGCTCGGGCGCGCGCGCCGCGGGGTGCTGCGCCACGCAGTACTCGCGCACGCGGCGCCGCCCGCACACCCACGACGCGTTCACGTACTCGCTGCCTGCAGCGCGGACGACAAAATACATCGTACTTGTTTGGTTTTCATAATGTTGAGGATAAAACTGTTTAGGGGCTGAACACTATATGAGACACAATAGCAAATAGCCCATGACTTAATAAAATCCACGTTTCAGCAAACATCGAGTTAATTTTTCCCTATGAGATCTACATCTGTTATCAGATTATACGAACTAAAAAAGTAACCATGCCATCAGATAGCATACCAGAATGCCAAAAACGTATTACATAATTTAAACTCAACCTTGTGAAACTGTCAACGAAATGAAACATTGCACCTAACATACATATTCTTTCAATCACAGTTTATGACTACAATCAGGATACATACCTTCAACTCCCGGTTTAGGTACAAGCATGACTCTGGCTGAATCCGACGGTAATATACCGCCGGGCCTGTTCTTCTCTGCGTTATGCGGCGCACGCGCACACACACTCGCTTCCACGCATGATCTTGTAATAAGCTAAGAAAAAAAAACGACAATTTACCATCGTACCACATGACGAGTCTACGCCACATTTGTTTACTGAGAAATCAAAAACGAGTTTCTTAAACCTACCTATCATGAAAAAATGGTAAAATACTTGATACATAATGAAAATGCGCAATATTGCGCTACTTGCGCAAAAATCGTGCATTTTGCGCAAAGATCGTGCAATTTGCGCAAAGATTGCGTGTGATTACTTCTTCAATTATAAAGTTTATTTACACAGTTTCGTTGATATTAAGTAAAGTTCAATAAAGCAACTATTCTTAATTAATTTAAATGTTTATTATTCCAATAATACTCACCAGAAACTGTTTCTCCAACAAGTTGACGGGCGGTGGGCCCTGGTACGTGTGATGTCTGTTCGCTAACGATCTCATACGTTCCAACAACGCATAGTTTTCCGCACGATTCGCTCTGAAATACAATATATTATTACCGTTTTATTTTGTATCATACTTTCAAAGAATGAATGCTTATGAATGACAGACAGACAGACTGAAACTTTTTATCTTGGCCTAGTAGGCTAACGGCCATTTTCTATAAACTATCTATCTGTAGATTTTTTTCCTTTTTGTTTTTCTTTGGCAACCGAGTCTCCTTCTGTAGATTTGGTTACTGAGATTGTTTGTAGTTAAATAGTTCTGCCGCACGAAACTAGATGGCGTTGTTAAAATACGTCACAATGTACATCGCGGTGTTAAGATTCTCCGTCGATACACCTACCCCATTCGAAATTTTTGTGTTAGTTTGAGTTTGGCATTGATTAGCAATAAATTTACTAGTACCTACATGGACTCTCAGTGTTTCTCTCACTTACCCCCAGTGCGCGTAAATAAAAGTACAGAGATAGAATTTTGACATAACCTTTATACAAAATGTTTCATTATCTGCCACTGCTTTAATGAGAGGTAGTGTTGTGTTTACAGATTACAATAGTGAAGAAATTTCATACCCCGGACCAGCTAATTAAATTTGAGAAGATATTAAATAAATTAAGTAAACATTGACTCTAGTCTTCATAATGTGGTTCACAAATTAAGCGCGATGCGTCGCTTAGTCAATGAAAACAATTGCTATCTCTTTCCACATGTACTGAGAATGAAAACGGAAATCAGCTGACTAGTTGGTCACGATCTAATCTATTAGATACTCAATAGGCTGGATAACAAGTATTTTAAAAGTGCAATTATTTACCAGGTACGGCATTCTTCCGGAAAGCTGATGTAGGTAAATAAGATGATAAACTTCCCATCACACTTAAAACAGGCTTTGAACTGTCAAGTTAGCGTAAGAATGGTATTTTTTATTTATTTTAATTTAAATTAATATCACATAACGATAAACTTAGAGTATTTTAAAGTTAATAATCTTATTTACAACAATTGCGTCGTATTTACAGTTATTTACACACTTCCTACCTACTTATCTACAAAACTGTTGCACAAGTCCACTTTCGCGTGCACACAAATGAAGGCACGCTTCATAACATGTCATATAACCACGGAATATAGAATACAATGGAAATAGCAAGTAGGCGTGGCACGCGTGCCACAACTAAGCAGTGTACTGCTTACTCGAGGCAAATTCGAGTTCAGTCTCGTTCGAACATCGCGTCGAGTTGCTAGTCTCGTGACAAATACATATTTCCTCAACTATGCCGTTTTGTTCCGTTTTGGCGTGTAAAAATGATAGCAGCCGAAAAATCGTAAAAATTGAGGTGTTTCGTTTCATCGGTAAGTACAATTTTCATTGTTTTCTTGTAGAAATCTTATTTTATTTCAATTTACAAAAACGGTTATAAAAATAATATTATTCACTAAAACGGTTAGTCAAAATCAACCTTACGCCTTCAAGATAAAGTTTATTTTGGATTTATTCCATTCAATAGAACATTCTCGCCAGTTCTACGCTACTCAAATAGTTATGTAGTCAAATTACATATTGAATTTATCGATTGATATCGATGCAAGTGTAATGTAACATTTATTTAGATTATTTTTTTATTATTATTTTAGTGGTGACCCCGACGTGATTGGAAGCAACCTTCACTTCACGGAGCAGATCAGCACCGTCATCCTTATCGCCATCCCTCTCATTTATCACATTATCCATATAAAGTTTGTAAAAATTTATGTAATAGTTGTTACTTATATTGCCTATGTGAAATAAAAAAAATGATTTTTTGAAAAAAGAAACTAATAAAAAATACGAACAAAATGGTTTTTGATTTACATGTAAATAAATACTTACCCTTTTTTGTTACGTTTAAAAAGTTATCAACGACATATTAATTTTATTATTTTAATACTGTCACACTATAGCAGTCAATATTTTTTTTCATATTATTTTTAAAACACATTTTCATATTATCGATATTATTTTTATCGAATTAGGCTACATCACTATCTGAGTAGAGACCCGCATTCGAGCCAGTGATAAGCCATTCAAATATCACCTTTATTCTTACGACGTTAAAGTTCAAACCAAGTACCACTTTTCGTCGCTAGATGGCATTGTTAAACGCCATCTAGCGACGAATGGCGGTACTTGGTAGTCCAAAATATACTTTTTTATTTTGATTTATAGTGCATTGATTTTAAAGTTGCATATCGTATGATATTTTTTTTGCATTTCGTTTACGCCCATTTTTTTTTCTAACCAATCGTAACTTCCGATTTATAGTATGAGTAAATTATAAATGTATTAGTTTGGCGACACCGGTCCTGGCAGAAATATTGTTTCAAGCTACTTCATCCATTGTATTCTATATTCCGTGCATATAACATTATTTAATGTGTCCGTTTCACTTTTACTTGCCTCAATGCGCGTTTGATGTTGCGCGTGATTTAAAATACGCCACACGTTATTGTCGCTAACATCGTAAACTCCGGTAGTATCCCTTGAGCTCACAAGAGGATAACACCGAAAGAACTCTAACACTTCCTCTTCGAGTTCAGCCGTTAACGGAGGCCTGCCTTCCGAGTCAAACCGGCCGTATTCTCGGTATCGGTACACTGCATCCAGGATGGTATGATGACTCAGTCGCACATCGGCCCTCTGGTATAAATGAACCGCATGTGCAGTTATGGAGTTACACCCGCGGTAGCACTACACCATTTCAAGATATTGTTGATTTGAATTTCGTCGCCTGGGAGGCATTTTTACGTAGCGCGTGCGTATCCCCGACACTGAAACTAACGTCCGGGCAGGCGGGTGTTGACTGGGCTACTGGCCGGGCAGCGCGTGCGACGAGTTGTCTCATTCGATAAGAATGGCAACAGTGTATGACGGGGCGGGCACGCGTTTTGCGAATTGAATGAATTCGGTGCAGTGCGGCAACACGGAATGGTTTTATGCCAATAAATCAATACAAATGAATACGTAGATTTTTTTGTATGAATAAATAAATTACTCACAATCAATAATTTATACCTACTATTATAATCTGTAAACACAACACCTATCTCCCAACCTCCCATTAAAGCCGTGGCAGATAATTATATAGTACCTTATTATAGATAGGTTATAGGAAATGGCCGTAACTGAAATTAACGATTTAACTTTGACTTTACTAATAATTCGTTTCCTGATTTTTTTATTTAATGAGAAAAAATCTATTGTAATTACCCAAAATACAACCGTAAAGACCCATTGCAATGACACAACTTATAGTAGACTACAGTTAAAAAATATAAAAGAACTCACCTCCTCATCTCTTCTTTCTCCATCTCACTCATATTGTTATACGCCTGCATCTTCTTACTATACGTGTCAGTAGATCTTGGAGCGAGGTCATAGACTCCCTCGTTCTCCTCTCCATTCACCATCCCACCACCATCCTTAGCCTCATCAGTACCTTCAGAATCCTTAACCGACTTACTCTGTTCACTGTTCAGATCATCCGTCTTTATGGACACTTGACTACCATTCTCCAAAACCTCTTTTTCACTTGCATTCTGACTGGATTTTATGCTAGAAGTCTCGCCATTTTCAACGCCGTTCGACAAGTCATTTGTGCTCTTATGTTTAGGGGGATTAAGGTCTAAAACTGCTAGTTCTTCATCAGAGATCGGTTCTAGGAGTTTTAATAGATATTGTCTGGCTTTAGGGAACTCTACTTCTGTGTCTCCTGAGCGGACGTGTTCTAGGAGTGCGTCGTGCACGAAGACATATTGCTCTTCTGTCTGCACGAGATGGTTGCGCTGTGTTCGTGCTCGGCATAGGAAACCCAGCGGCGAGAGTGTGCCTGTCAGTTTGAGTTGGTTCAGTTGTGCGTCCAGCACTATGTATGTGCCTGTACGACCTACACCCGCACTGTAATAAAAGTTAATGTATTATGAGATTTGTAAATATGAAGTTTAGATGCATCTTGAATTTAAAGACTGAATTATAATGAAAAGGAGCTGCCACTAAAGTCGTAGATAAGTCAGTTGGAAGGTCAGAAGGATGCCATTTTAACTAAAGTTGTATCTTCTGTTTACTAGCAAATGGTCAAAACAGATTTTCAATTAATTAATTGTAAACAAAACATCACATAATGTAAGTTTCCCTAATCCCCTAAAAGGTAGATTAGAGTTGTTGAGACAGTCCCATGTCCCAGTTGAGTCCCATGGCACATGCGCCAACAAATCATCATAAACATGAAAATTAAACCTTAAACCAAGGACAATAAAACTCAAAATCGCTCCACATACCTGCAATGAACCAAAACAGTAGAAGGATGTTTCCCAGCCGCCTTCACAAATGGTAGTACAGCTAGGGGATGTCTCGGAGTCCCATGGTCAGGCCACACCGTGTAGTGGTACTGCACTATACTGCGACCTTCACTGCCCGAGCCTGACGTGTCGCCACTGGTCGGTGACGTGCCCTGGAGGAGGGAGGTAAGTTTGGGAGATGTGGTATGAATTTAATGTAAATTAAATGGTAAGGTTTATTGGATAAAGAAAATAATACTGCAGTTGATGATGAATACCTATTTAGGGATTATACAACACGGGTAATGTTCACCGTAATCCCTACTTGAGCACTGCTCCTTCTGGTTCAGGGTTCTGGAGTCAATGAAAATCGGGTACCCAGAGAGAGAGAACCGTTCGCCCAGACCAGTGCGCAGTAACTGGGTGCTTACTCTTGAAACCAATCCCAATGTCAATGCAATTTCAATCCAATAAAATCTTAATAATGATTCAATGTCAAAACTATACAACCCCTATCGTAGCTGTTAAAATTGCATTCAGAGTACGGAATATAAAGCCAAACTCAATACTATTTAGTTCATAAAATATTGACGCAATACGGATGCAATAGGCGCTAGTGTTGCAACTCAAGAGTACGAAATTTCACAATGTCAATGTCGATCGATCGGAATTCGATTCAAGAGTAAGCCCCCTGGTCGTCCAAAGCATACATCACGCGCGCATACAATTTGCTTACCTTGCACTCTGCCTTGCATACATACATGTGTCCCTACACCTACAAGAGTATATTAAACCATATTACGCAACTTGGTAGACGTAGAAAAACTAATCTGTATTACCAAACAATAGTATTAACAAATATTACGGAAACGAGCCGACAATAATGTTAACATCAATTCAATAAACCATTGTTTCTGGGGAACTTTCTAGCATAAAGCTTATTTTTAGCACCTAGAAAATGAAAAAAAATCCATTTGCGCTAGTATGTATTTATTGCGCAAATTCGTTGCGCAACGACATTACAAGTGTGTACTACACTTTGCGCAATAATACAAAATGGTTAAATTATATGTATAATGAATTAAAGCAGCATTACATACCGGTGCGCAGTCGGCCGTGACGCGCATGTGCCGCACGGTGTAGGCGGCGCGCACGTCCTCGTGCAGCAACGTCACGCGCACGCCGCCGAACTCCGCCGCACTGCCCGCGCCGCCCGCCGGCCAGTACATGTCGCACTTACGCTGCCGGACCACAGATTTTAAGTTACATCATAAAAATAATCGATACATTCAATATTCTATTATATTCAACGGATTTTATATCACACAAGTGTGGGATAGCCAAGCTTCGGCACGAATAGGCCAGCTCGACAATAATGATACCATGGCCACACAGAAACTCACCGCAAAACAATACTGTTGCACTGTGTTGTCGTGTGAATAAGTTCGTCGGTTTTTTTATGGAATAGTAGGTAAACGAGCAGACGGATCACCTGATGGTAAGCGATCAGCGCCGCCCATGGACACCTGCAACACCAGAGGAGTCACAGGTGCGTTATACCGGAGATCCAATTACCCCCCTCTTAAATCCCTAACCCACAAAAAGCCGGCAACGCGCTTGTAATTCCTCCAGCGTTAAAAAGTCCAGACCTGCACCAATATCTTATCAATAGATGATCCATATATGCTTGTTCACCCGCCTAAGTATATATGATTATAATAGTTCATGGATATCTTACTCGTCCCCGCTCCACGAGGTTGGTGATCATAACAACTGTATGGACTCTGTGTTGCCAGATCATGCGCCAAAAAGCGTCCAGTGTTGCCGGCGTAGGACCTTGAGTAGCGATATACCGACGTCGCCATATTAACCATTCTAACTTAACTCGTGTTGGGACACCATCTGTGAAGAAAAATGTATTTAATTGTTAATACTAATAATATCTATAGATAAAATAGTAGTTATGTTATTCCCAATTTATTTATTAACTTTTATAGTATTGTTATTTAGTAATATTGATAATGTATCTTATGTAATTTACATTATACCTATATATACGGATATATGTATGTATTTACAGTTATGCATCACATAAACCATTATACCTATTACACCTACTGTTGCACATCTCTGCATCACCCCATGGTTGACTGTTAGAGAATGCCACCCGGCATTAAGTCCGCCATCGTATGTTCGTTATAAAGAAGTGTTAATAAATAAATAAATAAAATCAAAATTATTTTACCGCGTTAAAAAGGTTATTATAATAGAAAAGTGACACTTTCATTGGGAAATGAAGTCCTATCGGTAAAAAGCAATGGCTACCAATAACATATTTTAATACGAACTCTTAAAATCGGCTTTTGTTTAAGGATCACAACTTACATAAAGGGAAAGTAGAAAGACAGAAGATGAAGAATGTATGTGAAGTAGCAAAAGAAAGAGGCAGAAGTGGAGAAAAAAGTAGAGTAGAAAATAAGAAGATAGAGAGAAAATCTCATTGAACTCTTGATGATCTTAACCAAAGGTCACTTACCAATATCGACATAGACATCATCCAATTCAGAGTCAGAATCGCTTCTATCGCTGTCCGAGTCAGAATTCTGTTCGTCCGACTCGACTATACCGGAGAATTCAATGTTCAGGAACGCTGACTCGATGCCTTCAGCCAGGTTTGGAGGAGGCTTCGATGGTTTAACTGATGATTGCCTGCAAAAATAAATGTGTTATAGTATATTTTCTAAATAGTTATAAATAATAGGTTTATTTATAATTATAAAAAATCATAATTATTCATGTTTTTACTTTAGTCATAAATTAGGTACTTTCCTTAATCAAAAATAAATTATTTCGACTGTTCAATACAATAAAACATTAAAAAGTAAGCACAAGTTCAAAAATTGATTCATACACATTCATGGTCATTTTTCTGCAATTTTTTTAAGAAATAAGTATTTTGTTTGACGCTAAAAAAACGTGACGTCACAATACACAAACTCGTAAAAAAAATCATAGAAAACTGTCGTTTTGGACAGTTCGAAAAAAGTATTGAATTTGACTAGTTGGCAAGTACCCTATTCACATTTTGTTCTTGAGATATCAAAAGATATATTTTCTAATATCTACATCTAGCGAATGAGTCGCCTAGACCCGATGACCAAAGGAAAACCAAACGATTTACAAGCAAAGAACGATGTTACGTTTTGCACTGTTCAATTTTTTTTATTAACATCAATTTAGATCTTTACATTTCGGAATTCACAGTTTCAGTATACGTTTTTATTTAGTACGACTAACGATATAAGTGATAGTTAATTAGAATTATTAATTACCTATGCGGCCTATTCCTTCGCTCCAGCTTTCTGCGAATCCTGGCGAGATGATGCGGCTGTAGTTGAGGCAGCATGCCATCGATGAAGTTAGCGTTGACGTAGTCGCAGGCCGAGCCGCGCCCACCGTCCGCGCCGCCCGCACCGCCCGCGCCGCCCCCGCACGCTGAGCTCGCCGACGACGCCGAGCTCGCCGTGCCTTCCTGCTACACCGCGCCATGGACATATTACACGGACGTGAAAAATTTGTGTGTATAATTTAAGTGGAATGAGACTGTTTTTGCGTTAGGTTAAGATAGCGGCAGTCATGATTATAGTATGTTTGTTTGATTTCCAGCTGTTGGGAGATGTTTATCCCAATGATGAGATGTTAATATAGGACGTACTAAAGAATATTTATACACATAAGTAGTTCTCATACTACCTCTGATGGTGAAGCCGAGTGTGATTAGTATTCAGTCTGAATTCATAGTTATAACAGTTTTTTTAACACATAAATTAATGCAATAGATAAACATTTCTAGCACTAAGCGTTTATCAATACATAGTATAAAACAAAGTCGCTTTCGCTGTATGTCCGTATGTATGCTTAGATCTTTAAAACTACGCAACGGATTTTGATGCGGTTTTTTTTAATAGATAGAGTGATTCTTAAGGAAGGTTTGTATGTATAATACATGCATATTGCACCCGTGCGAAGCCGGGGAAACACCAGAATAAGTATTTTTTTTTTAAGGGATACGTAAACGAGCAGGCGGATCACCTACGGCGTCGCCCCGGAACACAAGAGGCGTTACAAGTGCGTTACCGCCTTTTGGGGACTAGGAATTTGGGAATTGTTGGAGATTCCGGGATTGGGGAGATTTGGGAGGGAGGTAACTCAGCCTCCAGTAATTGGGTTTTTTTAACATTTCAATATAATACTGTCTTGACACAAACATTTTATAAATATACCTAATTCAATATGTACATATTTTTGTACCTACATACCAAAATAACTTAGTTACACATTGCGGAAATAAATAATTATTATGTATTTATATTTGATTGCTGATAAATATTCCCTAATAAGCACAAATATTCAAATTTTAACATAATTCTATAAATATGTTTTCCTGCAAATGTACAATGCGCAAAAAGTATTAGCAATAATAATAACATTGCTTGACAGGTTGGAAATAGCAATATAAAAAACGCTGTCCTGTGCCTGGGTTTATGACACCCACGGAAAGAGTTGAAGTGGTAATAAACGGGTCTTACTCCGCCATTATAATATCAGTAAAATAGCAGGATACTCACATGCAGTAATATTCAGGTATCGATTTTTCAGTCTATTTTCTGGTCTATGGCTATGATGGCTGGTGTGACCCAATGCAGCTGATTTGGCTACTACGATCTCGTATTCTTTGCTGTAATATAACACAATATTTTATGATCACTGGAATTAAATACTATGGCGTAGCTTATATCAACTTAGGGACGAAATTCTATAATAACATTTTAAAGCTGTTATGATATTCACCCCCGAATACTGAAAGGTAAACTAGAGGCAGAGGGCGCGCTTGGCCCGCAGTCTCGAGTAGCCAGTAGCAGCGCGACAGTCGCCTCGTCGCGGGTCGCGAAATGCTGCTCATGAATATGAGCCTCTAGCATGGCTTGAAACTAGTCGAGTTCCTCGTCAAATAATTAAGTGAGGAAGCCAAAAACATAATAGTTTATTTAAGACTCGATATGTTGATGAGCTTAACCCAACCGTCAGGTATGACTTGAAAAATATCTTATTAACTAGCTGCTACTATTTATTATCATCTCGAATAGTAAGACTACGTAAATATTCTAGTTCAAAAATTACCTGAATCCAATATCCCCATCAGCATGTAACGCAGCGACATGTGTGGGGAAGGCGGACGCCTTTACAGCGGGTTGCGCGGCGCCCGCCATGCGCGGGGGCCGCGCGCGGGCCCCCACGTCCGGGCCCCCGCCGCCGGGGCCCTCGGGGCCCTCGCCCGCCCCCGACGTGCAGGATACCAGGGGGGAGCAGTTCACCACTGTTAAGAGACGTAGATTGCTTAGATTTTGTATTTGGGAAGATATTATGTTTAGATTTCTTATGTATAATGTAACTTTCGTATGTATAATGTAATTTTGAATTTTGAAATTTTATATTATGTAACTAATTTTGTCGTATTAGGCTAAGTACCTGTGAAGATTAAATTAGCTGTTTTCTGATAAATAAAAAAAAAAAAAAAAATTATTTTTGTTTACATTCTAAACACTCAAGTATACAAGTTAGGATTTTTTTATAAGTAAGTAATGAAATAGTTTTTGAGTAACGTACAGCCCTCAAGTTGGGATAAGTTGCATCAAAATTACGGTCAACCATCAACACACGGTAGGTAAACCTAAGAATTAGTAACAATATTTTTTTATTAATGAAAAACATTTTTCACATTAATCTCAATACATATTTGACGCACTGAATTTATGTAGCAATATACTTAGAGAAGATATAATGTACTTACATAATTTAAAAAAACTTACCAGGTTTCTTGTAGGAGTTGAGCGGCGCCCGCGCAGCCCTTTCGCCGCCTTCTTCCAAATAGTTGTAAGCAGCGCTGATACACTTGCTGAGACGAGCTCGACACCTGTAAAATGATGACATTGGACTTAGTGTTCTTGAGCAGTATCTTTTTTCTAACTTTGATTCACACTACGATTTTTCTAACACACTCAAACTCAGAACAACAATTTGAAGTGCAGTTGGATATAAAAGATGCCTATGTATAACATAACATATACAACATCACGCCTTTTTATCCCCGAAGGAGTAGGCAGAGGTGCACATCATGGCATTTAATGCCACAGTACAATGTAACACCCACTTTTCACTATTTATGTTATGAGTCCCATATAATAGGGGGAAGCCTATTGCCATACACAGGGCACAATTCCAGACTCCGTGCTACTACTGAGAATTAAAAAACCCCAGTAATACTTTGACCGACTCGGAATCGAACCCCAGACCGATTGGCTGACACTCACACTTGCGACCACTCGGACAATGAGACAGTATTAACTATAAATAATTATGTCACATAGCGTACATACCTCCAGTAAAGTACTGCGACTGCAATAGCGAAGACTAGCAGTGGACAGATGGCCAACAGGGCCACGTTGCTGACGGTACCCGGCACCGGCGTGTCCATCGGGGACATCGCCTCCGAGTGCGCCGCGCACCACTCGCTTGACACCTCCTGGACATAAACACTTGCAATTGAAATATACGGCTCATGTCGAAATACTCTAACGTCAGTCAGTTATAAGTCGCCCTTAACACCTTGAACGCCATGGGGGACAACGTATGGGCCACAATAGCGGCGGATTTACCCTCAACAGTTTGTTTTCTGTCGGCAGTCAAAGGCCTTAAGTATAGTACAGTCAGTACAAATTCTTTGTAAAATGACAAAAAAGGCGCAATATTTAAATGCACTAAAAACGGGTACTCAGTTTCAGTATTTGTGCGTAACTTACATGGACTATATCACCCAAGAGAGGCATGCTTCGCCACGAATGGACCAGTACTGAGATACCATGGCCACAAACCACAGTCAGTGTAGTTACCGGAGGCCAGAGGCACAACCCTCCCCCATCCGCAATCCCCAAAAGGATAGCAATGCACTTGAAAGTCCACCACCGATAAAGTGGTGCGCGTGTCCACCGGCGGCGTTGATTGATTATTGCTTACCATCCGGTGATCAGATGGTGATTTGCAAATTGAATAAGAAATCTTCTGTACACGTTTTTACTCTCTATTCCTCTTCAGAAGTTTCCGACGGTCAGACATACATGCCACCTTAATATATTAGCTATCGGTCAACAGAAACAGCACTAACCTCTGGGTTGGACTCGACACCGTTGATAAAGGACTTATCTCTGGCCACGGACTGGGTAACCGCGTACACCTTCACTTCGTACCGCGTCACGTTCCACAGATCCACTTCCTGGAAACAAACATTTAATTTAGAAAAGGTATTGAACAACTAGCTTCTACACTCGGGTCGGCCAGCATTCCCGTGGTATCAAAAGTAGCCTATGTGCTATTCCAAGCCGTGATTGATCGTTTTTGACGTGATTAAGTAACAACCATATGCACAAACTCACTCACAAACTTTCGCATTTATCTATATAAATAAAAATGAATTTCAATTCGTTAGTCTCGCTAAAACTCGAGAACGACTGAACAGATTTGGCTAATTTTGGTCTTGAAATGTTCGTGGAAGTCCAGGCTTAAAAGGAGACTGAGAGGTGTTATTTTTTATAGTCGGGACGAAGTTTGCCTGGTCAACTAGTAATATTGTATTAGTAAGATTAGACTCAAATAATGTCCTGAAACTGTAACCGGACTCAAACTTTATTAAAACCCTCTTAAAATAGAATGCTGTGTGTTTAATATTGCCAAGCATAGTGGATATTTCATCCCGCCAAGGCCTTTATGCAGTGACCATTTTCCGCCTGTGGAATGCCACTTAAATACCTATCTCAGTGACCTAATTACGATCTCAAAGATGTCTGCCATTTTGTGTTCAATGTTGACGTCTTTTCTCTAATAACTATGCGATATGGAAATGGATTTTCCTCAACAAATCCTATCGACAGATAAACAAAATTCTCTATCGTTCCTGTCTGACTGTCTGTTCGCGATAAATATAGAAACTACAACAAAAATTACCCAGTCAGTTTTCTAATTACGTACCATAGAAAAAAATTCAAAAAAAATATCAACAAGAACTGTTGTTGAACCGAGAAAAGCTAAAGAAATGAATTTAAGAATTACATATCGAATTAGTTTAGTGTTGGAATGAAAATAAAAACTTTTAAATACCTTTATTATCGTTGCGAGCACTTCACATGAATTATTAAAAACAACTAAATCACAAGCATATTGTAATTATGATTCTTGTTTCCTCATGAACATTTTGTTTCCTTATACAGTTCCGAGATTTATACTAAATTCCATTCTATATATTATACAGTAACATAACAAACCCGGTCTGTTTAATAAGGACAAAATATGAACTAATATCGAAATATAACGCGTTCACATTTTTTTCGCGCCTTTGTTACGCCTTATGTGGAAGAGCCATGCCTGCTCGACTGGAGTGATACCACGTCCTTACAGAAAACTGACGTGAAACAACGCTTGCGTTGTGTTTCGTCGTGTGAGTGCGGTTACCGGAGGCCCAGTTACCCAATCCCCCCAATCCCCGAACCCCAAATTAACAATCCTCAAATTCGTAATCCCCAAAAGGTCGGTAACGCACTTGTAACACCTCTGGTGTTTCGGGTAACCATCAGGTGATCCGTCTGCTCGTTTACCGACTTATCCCACAAAAATCCTGATCCTGATCCTTTGAAACCGTGATTTCCAGCCCGCCTGCTAAGCGTAAAGATTATGGCAACCCCTTCTTATGTAGAGGCAGGCCAAAGTCCAGTAGTGGACTCCTAAGAGCTATTAATGAAGATCTCGCAAGATGAAAACTTATGAAGGCAAATCCTCCGCTAACGTAGGTGACGGGTGCCGGTGACCTACGCGACGGTTAACGTGTTAATCCTACGAATATAATAAATGTGAAAGTTTCTGAGAATGTAGGTGTTTTTAACTTTTTCACGGCAAAAGGGTTGAAGGGATCGAGATGAAATTTGGAATAGGGATAGATTATGGTCTGGAATAACACATAGGCTACATACCACTGGAGTATTGGCGAACCCACTGACGGAACTACTTAAATCTAAATTTATATTACGCAATGTAAAAATTAACAACGTCGACATTGATTGTGGTAAGCGCCATCTATTGATCATATGCCACAATATATTCACAAGTAAAACTTCAAGACTGCCTCGACTACCTCGTTGACCGAGTGGTCGCAAGAGTGACTGCCGGGCAAGGGTTCTCGGGTTCGATTCCCGGGTCGGGCAAAGTATTACTGGGTTTTTAAAAATATCTCAGTAGTAGCACGGAGTCTGGAATTGTGCCCGGTATATGGCAATAGGCTCACCCCCTATTACATGGGACTCATAACATAAATAGTGAAAAATGGGTGTTACATTGTAGTGTGGCATAATGTACACCCCTTCGGGGATAAAAGGCGTGATGTTACGTTATGTTATGTAAAACTTCAACTTACTATGGGTATTGTAGTTTCAATATCATTCTTGTTGGTCGGTAGGGTCAGTCTGGTCCTCGGCTGCTGTTCAGGTATCTTCCTGAGGGTCACCACGTACTGGTCCAAGGAGTTGTTGTACTCTAGGGGCTGACGCCATTGAAGGTATAGTGTACCTGGAGATGAGATATAAAAGATAACATTAGTTTTATGGGATTGGGAGGTAAACGAGCAAACGGATTACCTGATGGGACGCAATCGACGCCGCCCATGGACACTCGTAACACCAGAAAGTACTTAAAACTTTGATGCAGACCATTTGAAGAGGGGAATCGGGCTTACTTTTTGGGTTGTACTATATTATGACTTAGGGACTTTTTAAAATTCATGTATGTTTTTCATGCAGTACGGAAGGGCAAAAGTGTTCCTTTACTTTCGACCTTGTAACATAATCGACAACCCATAAATTGATAGATAGGAGTAACTAGGTGTGCTCATCATATTCATGCCTTTGTAAAATTATTCATCAATATTACTTAAGTATATAACTAAAATCAAAACAAATACTTCTAAAATAATAAAGTGAAATAACTCACGTTTAGTCTGGTCGCAAGTTAAATTCAGTATGATAGGAGCGGACGGCGGAATGACGTCAGTTAGCACATACAGGGGTTCCGACTTTGGACCTAATCTGTCCAATAAATCGGATGACTTCACACCATCCAGCGAAAAGTTGTAGAACGCTCGCACCCAGATCTTGTATGGCGTAAAAGGCTCTAGAAAAAGAAAGAAACAATAATGTTAATGCATTTTTATTTAGGTAAAGTTAAGCAAATCAGATCAATCTCAACTTACAAGTTCAAACTAGCTTGAAATGATGTAGCTTGAAAAATATTTTTATTAAAACCCAAAACTAAAAACTACCAACCTACCAAAAATTTTTTCAACATGCAACTTCAACTTCAGTCGTCCGTCACAGATAATTTATCAGACAAGACATACATAACACGATTAGTAATCTAGACAATTAAGATGGGCTTAAAGTATTCTCCATATTAATTGGATGACTGACTGTTTGAGGCACACTTCTAGAAGGTCGAGGTTATAATAAATTGGAATATTATGGCAATTAATGTAACGTTTACGACTTTTAAATTAATACATAGAGGTTTAACCTGTGGTATATCGGGAACGTAGATCCACACGGGACACAATGTATTTTATATTGTGTCTCATATACCAACACTCAAGATTTAAGAATGATAGTGAAAAATGGTTCTTATTACATAGTGATAAATAAGGTCAATGATTTATGAAGTAAGATAGAAAGATTTTTTAGACTATTTACTAGTCTTGCTCTTGTGCAATAGAGTTTTCAGGATTATATTTAAAATTGACTAGATTACATAGCTAACATTGAATACGATTCAAAACGATAAGAGATCTATGTATCGCAGTGCATAAACTTTTCAACTACGTCTGTCAAATCGCGCCAAACTTCAAATCATAGTCCAATTTAATAAAATGTTTACTTACTACCTATTCTTACATAAAAAATGGTAAACCAACTAATTTGTAAAACTAGAAAGTTATTCCATTAAAATAACTTCAACGAACTGCCACAATCCCCATTATTAGCCGAAACTGTTACACAAAAAATAAAACAATCGTAAATTGTCACTTACTTAGATTTCTCAAGCGGAACCCGACTACTTTCGTCACCTTCCCGGAAGTGTTTAACAACGTCAAATTCTTGGTCGCCCTCGAATAATTTTCCATGCCCAAATCACTGGGGAACACATTCTTCCTTTTCACATCGGCTGACTTCTGAGTCCCATTGACGATGCTCACGTCATACCGACGTTCCCCCTGTTCGTAGTACAACACATAAGCCACTTGCGTAGCATTCTTGTGTTTCATAGCAAACGCCTTCTTAACCACCTCTTTCGGCTCTATGTTATGCTTAGCCCAAACCTCCAAACTCTTCTCAAAGTGCAAATTTTCATCAGTCCCATTATCCTGTCGTCTCTTTCTGTGTCTATGTGATCTTACATCTCTTTTATTCCTATAGTCATCGATAAGGACATGAGATGAGTAATCGTCATTGTATTTTTGTTTGTCGTTTTTATACCAGTTGTAGGATGCGTATTCGAACTCTTTCTGTCGTTCTGGGTTTATGGAGTCTGATGGTGAGTCCTGGCTGAGGACGTCGTTGGCTGGCTCGTCGCCCTGCAGTTCTTGCTTTCTATTTCTTATGTGATCATTGTGAGGTATTAAAGTTTGACTTTTTAAGTCATGGTCTGTGTTGGGAAGGGTGCGCACTGTCATGTTCACTGGCGGGGCCCATGAGAGGTGGACTTCCTCGGTAGTTACATTGTTTGCAGTCAGGTTAAGAGGAGCGGACGGAACTGGAAAGAAAAGAAAAACATTGTAAATTTCCACAATAATAGATAAAAAAAGATAGTGCAAATGACCCATTCATTCATTCATATTATTACACTATCAATGTGATAAAAGAAAGATGCAGAATTGGTATTACCTAAAGCTGATTAGATAAGACTAGATTTGACAATAAAACAATGAAACAGCGTACCACTGAATAATCATAATAAGTCAAATGCCACGAACAATTAAGTATCTTTAAAAAAAACATACAGACGAATTGAAAACCTCCTTTTTAGGAAGTCGTCGGTTGAAATGCACTTCTTTTCGAGCCTAACCACACTTATTTGATTATTAACTCTATTACACGTAGAATACAATACAAAATGACAAAACAGTTTTCCCCTAAAATGACAGGTAGAGCACCCACTTACGTCAATAATTTTATTTGTCTCGTGTAATAGGGAAAAGCCTATTATCGTACAGGCAATAATGAACTTTGACCTTTAGGGTTTAGGGACTTGTTTGACTTGAAAAGTCTCAAATTGTTATTTTATTAAATAACTTTGTTTTATTTTAGGAGAAATTCAGATGTCATATTGATCACAATGTGAGAATTGCCACATACATTAGACTATGTTCATCCATTCTTTCTTAATAGATTTTAAACTTAATAGCTTTTTTAATATAATTCAAAATATAATAAAAAATACACATTTGTTAAAATGAGGTAGTTTGTTGACTGCGCCATTGTACTGTCAACATACGACCAATAAAAATATAATAATTACACTCGTCCTTAACTCGTCGAGTACCGGTTTTGTAGACACAATTATAGAACAATAGGTTGCGGTCACCGGTGACCGCTTGGTGTTTGACAGTTTAAGCATATAAAGGACAATATATTAACGAAACATTACTCATACACCATATAAAGATGTACACACATACATGCATACAACCAAACAAACAATCAATCCTCCAAAGTGCGCATGCGCGACAGGGACCGTCAGTGAAACACAATTTATCGTTAAATTCTAACTTTCAACCTTTACAATGTTGATTGTGAGTAAGAAAAAGATATTATTAGAACAGGAGACAGTTTATCAAGAATATTAATTGTACTTGTATCATTTTGTCACCATCCCAGTGGTTACGCAAATCTACTATATAAAAATAAGTTGGGTTTTGCTTCCTGACGCTATAACTCCAGAACGCACGAACCGATTTCCATGGATTCGTTGGAAAGGTCTCGGGCTCCGTGAGGTTTACAGCAAAGATAATTCACTAATCACCAAACGAAATGTCACATAAAACGAAGCCATCTGGTGGCGAAATGGAGTTCGCCGGGTTTGCTAGTTCACCAATATAAATTAAGTAAGAATCGCGGGTTACTCACGTGAATATACTGAGAAAAGCTCTACTAGTTTCGAACCACAGTGGGGTTCTTCCTCATCAGCAGCGTACGCGGTCGCGGCGATGTCGCGCAGCCTTCTACTGTACTAGTAGTACAGAGTAGGCTAACCGCGATTAGATAGGCGAACCACGATAGTAATCCACGATTTTTAATTAATTTAGTATGTCTCACGATATATTAACGATTATATAGTTACGAGTCCAATAACCATTGTGCAATTACCCTACTTCGGCTCTTCTGCAGAACAAATTATTTGTGTAATCCCTAGATTGGTGTTCGGAGTATCGATGATCTGAATGTATCATGTTAACTTATGTTAAAGAAGAAAAACCTTACAAAAAAATGTGAGGGAGTGTTTAAGGAAAAACGACTTCTATTTCTTTACGAAACAAATATTTGTGTGATCAATGGAGAGTTGTTCCGAGTCTTGGTGCTATGAATACACACAATATTGTTTGATACGACCCCATTACACAGAAAACCTAATAATCGATGCAATTTTCAAAGAAAACCAGCAAAATTAAACCTAACACCTTTACTTTGATGAATTTTCAGTTCAACAATATTAGTATAGCGAAAATGGCTTCAGTATAATAAGGATTCGCATGAGTTTAGCACACGATAATCCGTTAGGAGTTTAAAACTACACAGGTCGACAACAGCTCAACACGTTATTAAACAACAAACTATAATGTAACTTCTAATTCATCAGTATTGATCAATCAACGCCTACTACAATCAACAAAAGTATTTATAAATGTTAGAAAATATTAAGAAAGTATAGTGGGTGTCAATGACCCTAACGCTTCATCAACAACATCATCATACACACAGCCTATAAGTAGTCACTGTTGACCAAAAGCCCCTTCTCACACGGAGAAGGTTTGAGCATTAATCGCCACGGTTGCTCAATGGGGTTTGGCATTTTTTTTCTAAACTTATAATTAGATATTATAGGCGTTTTTTTTTATTTTTTTTTTAAGGGGGGAAAATCATCGAATGACTGCTCCCGCCTGGGTGAGGCGGGAGGGAGTGTCATACTCTTACTGACTAAAAACCATCCCGTTCCTTCTCCTGCACGTCGAGTCGGTCCCCGGTTACCCGTTAGGTTCTCCGCGACAGATATTATAGGCTTAGGTTTCCTTGCAATGTTTTTCTTCATCGTTTGTTAATGGTGTCTAAACTAAATAATCTTAGAAAGTACATATAACTCGGAAAAAGTCACATTGGTACTTGCTGTTGGTAGGTTTCGACCTTCATGCATGAGAACCTCCGAGCCACCACGACTTATTGTTCGTATCCACACCCAATCGTTTACTTATGAAATATCAAAAAGCTATTAGAAAGCAAAGACTCCTTTATTCTGATATCGGATTCCCTTGGCAGTTCCAATCATCATCATAAATATTATCCCATTAGAAATCCACTGATCCACTGCTATATATAGGTCTCCCAATCACTCCTATATCGGCTGATTGGAGGCATCACGATTATAAAAATATCTATGATCCAAAATATATACTTAAGTCCAACAATAAACTGCTCTGTTCAAAGTTAAAACCATAAACGCAGTATAAAAGTGAAATTACTAACTGAATTTCTTTTTACGCCTTACAACTACTTTCGTGGAATAATGTAATACATATTATTATGTAAAATAAAAAAGAAAACTCTTCCGTAACTGTGATATAACTAGAACGTAGATAAAAAACCGTTACTAGATTAGCTGCGCCTGCGCGCGTAAAAACCATAGAATATAAAGTGCTTAAGGCCGTTTAAAGCACTAGTTCCGTTTCAGCAAATAGCTAGAAATCTTAGGAACATGATAATAATCGCGGATGACCATTGGGGATTTTACGTCGCTAGAATTTTGGGGATTTACGTACTAGAGTTTAAGTTATAGTATTTTGATTTAGATTAGAGCTATTTCAGCCATCTATCTAACATTTAAAATTAATCGAAGAAAAATCTTATATTTACATACATACATACTTACTTAACATACTTACTTACTTACATACTTAAATGATATTAAAAATTTACAATTAAGACTGATAAAATACTTAGTGAGTAAGAAAGAGAAAAACATCTGCAATAAGGATTATGATAAACTATTTCCACTGTGTAAAATACTGCCCATAGATAAGAAGGTTGAGTAGTTAATAGGATTAGAGTATTACTATAGCAATGAATATAAATGTATAATAGAGAATAAATATAACACCAGAAGGGCTAGAGAACATATGTTAAATAAACCTAGAATAATAAACTACTATGGTAAGAGAACTAATAAATATATAGTGCCAAAGATATTCAATAAATTGGATATATTGAGAGAAGAAAATAAGGTGAGTTTGTTTATGTTGAAGAAGAGGCTAAGGGGAGAATTGCTTAAGAGAGCATAGGCAATGCATTCTTTAATTTCTATCTTTTGTAATGTGTATTTTTTGTTTTTTTTTTTTTTTTTTTCAGTTTTCTTTTAATGTTATATAAAGTACTTAATTAGCTAGTAAGAATAAGAAATGAGCGCTTCTCGCCGTTAAACGTTATGTTTGGCGAGGATCTATAATTATAAGAACAACATGTTAATCCTAAAATTGTACTTTTGTTAAATAAATAAAAATAAAATAAAAAACATATACATTATATTTATAATTTTTTGTTTTCAAACGGCCGTGGTCTTGTATGGACCATGATCTGGATTTAGTAGTACAATTGATGTTTTGGTAAAACATGTTTACCTTGTTTATTTTGATTGAAAATGTGGAAAAGGGTTATAAAAGATCCACTCAAAAATGACCCTTCGATGAAAAACAGAATGATGACGCACGTTTCTTTACAAATTTAATTACAATGGGGCGATTAAGCTTTCAGAGTGAAAACGTAGGACGCGAGGTTTCACCAAAAGGTATTAGGCTGCCAAGGCTTGGAAGCGAACAATTAAATATTTTTACTTCCATCGCAAATTGAACATACGTGACGGTTATTCCGTGTACAGAGCCCATTTAATCAAACGAGCTATTATTGTTTTTCCTATTACGTGTAGGCCGTATTGGTTTCATAATCGGTTGAAGATTTTTTTTGGACCCCTGTAAATGGTTGTTTTGATAGGAGATTGTGGTTATATCCATTCAGGACTGGATATCTCGTGAGATCGTAAGGACGCCCTCTAACGGCGATAATATTTTACAACTCACTTTCACCCCCTGCAACGGTAACGGGAACTGACCAAGAAACTTATAAAACGCATTAAATCAAGATTGATAGGCACTACACGTCCTTCTAAAGCCATCCACACCCACAAAGCATCCATTTTGCAGGTTAAAAATCCAGAATCAACACAGTTCCTCCATACAACACGAGTCTATTAGAAGATTATACGACTTCAGTATTCCGGGAAGTACGAATTCTTCCGCAGTAAGATTTACCGTCTGTTACAAAGTCAGCGCTCACATCAGGCCAATATGCTCCACTCTAAACATGTGTATAAGAGAAATCTACAACGATCTCATTCACGGCTCAATGGTACTGAGACTAACCACTCTACACCGTTCAATCATCTAGATTGAGTAAGTATTATAATTCGCATTGAAATCACAACAAACATTA